GAAGAAATACCAAGCCTTAAGAGCGTTTTCATACTACGTCCGATCCAAATCTGAATCAGTCGCAGTGCGAAACCGGTCTAAGATTTTTTTCTTTGCTTTAATGGTCTAATTTGTCAATTCTCTGTTCCAGCAACCACCTGCAATGCGACACCCAGAACGAGGTGGAAGCTATGGTGGCGAGGGTTCAGCAGTCGGCCCACCAGATTCACATGATCGCGGCCGATATGCCGCATCTACACCGCGGGGACACGGATAGTGGGGTAAGTTGACGAGGCCCACTGTTGGGCATGATGGGCATATGAGTATACATGTCGCAGTAAGATAGATAAAGCCGTAATATAGTTATATCCCTAGGGATATAATTATATACCGTAACATAGTTATACGAAAGCGATTCATTACTATCTCACTAGGAATATAGTTATAAAACGGCCCAAGTTTAGTGATATAGTTATATTACTAGATTAAGTTTAGTGAAATAGCTTTCGGAGTGTGCGGCGCCTATACCAAATGAAAACTTGTCACTGAGAGCAATATGCCAAAAAATTACGTGTTTTGGTGCCCTGTAAAAAATCGAATATACAGTGTTCTACTAAAAGATGTGCCTGTAAGAAGCATTCAATGCTATGTAATTCTAGATGTCATGATTCCTCTTCTTGTCTAAACAAAAGTTAAAAAATACTTTTAAAGAAACCAAGATCTCAAGATATCTCAAAACTGTTGATTAGCTTTAAAAGATTTTTAATGTTTGATTAGTTTAAAGTATTGTTAATGTTTAAATTCCAAAAAATATGATCAATTTAATTACAATTGAAATTAATACGTGTTAATGTCACAAAGTATTGTAACTAACTGCAGGATACATGATTTTTTAATAAAAATAAAACCAATTTAATATTGTTTTATTTAATTATACAGTGTGTTTGAGATAGGGCTAGCGATAATTTAAGGCGATGTTATTATGTCAATTTTATCGACAAAAATGCCCCCACTTATGTGGGCCTACCCCCCTCAAAAAAATTTTTTTTATATGTTATTCTACCTTTTGTCGGCGTGATTTTAATGTACACCACAAAATACGTCCACAAAATTACAGCTCTCTAGTGCCAATAGTTTCCAAGCAAAACCTCGAACGGACAGACAGATGACAGACAGACATTACGAAACTATAAGGGTTCCTTGTCAGGACTACGGAATCCTAAAAATGAGAAATAATAACCATAAAACTTTAAAAAAAAATGAGAGCATTTTTGTCGATAAAATTGACATCACAACATCGCCTTAAATTATCGCTAACCCTATCCCAAACACACTGTATACGGTAGATTTCTATTTTACAAAGCTTAATCAAGTAATATATTTATAACACTGAACTTAATCTAGTAATATAACTATATCACTAAACTTGGGCCGTTTTATAACTATATTCCTAGTGAGATAGTAATGAATCGCTTTCCTATAACAATGTTACGGTATACAGGGTGACTGGAACTGAACCCGCCATAGCTAATACGCGTATAGAGGAGGTCATTTGCTAATTATTGAACCTTACTTTCTATGACTAAAGTTTCATAGTTTATGAGATATGACAATTTTTATACTTGTTTCAGATTTTCCCGAAATTTGACCTAAAAACTGCTTAAATTTTTTTTCTCGCATGATTTTAACCGATTTTTTTATTTGATACTAATATCGAATAAACCTTTAGTCAAATAAAATAAATTTCAGATCTAGATAATGATTCAATAACTAGTTACGAGCCGCCAAAGTTCAACAAAAGTACAAACCACGATAAAAAATTCAAATTCGATTTCGATTTAAGAAAAAACTAATGGTGATAATGGATTGCCAATGATCTTAAAAATATCTCTGCCTTCTCTTCTTTCCAATGATATATCACACGTAGTAATTAGATATTGAAATTTATTAAAAATTCAAAGTTTATGGAAGAAAATGGAGTAATTTACGAAAATTATCCATACAAAGTTTCTTCAAACAACTCATATTTTCTGCTATACTCCTTTTCATAACTATTTTCGTGTTTTTTTGAAAAATGAATTTAAAAATAATAATCACATTATAAAGAAAAAAAAAATTAAAAAAATTCAAAATCAACTTTGTATGGATAATTTTTGTATTATTACTCCATTTTCTTCCATAAACTTTGAATTTTTGATAAATTTCAATATCTAATTACAACGTGTGATATATCATTGGAAAGAAGAGAAGCTGGAGATATTTTTAAGATTATTGGCAATCAACTATCACCATTAATTTTTGTTTCAATCGAATTCGAAGTAGAATTTTTTATCGTGGTTTGTACTTTTGTTAGACTTTGGCGGCTCGTAACTAGCTATTCAATCATTATCTGGATCAGAAATTTATTTTATTTGAATTAAGACATATTCGATATTAATATCAAATAAAAAAAACTGTTGAAATCACGCGAGAAAAAAAATTGAAGCAGTTTTCAGGTCAAATTTTGGAAAAATCTGAAAAAAGTATAAAAATTGACATATCTCCTAAACTATAAAACTTTAGCCATAGAAAGTAAAGTTCAATAATTAGCAAATGACCTCCTCTATACGCCTATTAGCTATGGCGGGTTCAGTTCCAGTCACCCTGTATAATTATATCCCTAGGGATATAGCTATATTACGGCTTTATCTATCTTACTGCGACATACACATGGTGGCCGATATGCCGCATCTACACGGATAGCGGGGTAAGTTGACGAGGCCCACTGTTGGGCATGATGGGCATATGAATATACACATGGTGGCCGATATGCCGCATTTTCACCGCGGGGACACGGATAGTGGGGTAAGTTGAGACCCAGTGCTGGACATACTGTGCTAATGAAAGAAGAAAGAAAATGTTTTATTTGGTTCAAAATATAAAATTATGCAATTATACAGTTTGATAGTTAACTGCCCATTGCCGGTCATATATTCTCGTTCTATCGCAAAGAATCACCATTTGATGAGAGCGAGAGCAAAAACGGAAATGGATAGTTAACACTGTGGCCGATAGTACATGTACTTGTGCATGTTGTGAACCAAAATTGCATTCGCTCAGCATTGTGTTCTGCTCTGAGATAGAACCCAGAACATGACGCGGTTATTCTGCGGAAGCCATTGTTCGAAAAAGCGCTACCTATTGCTGTTCTTAACCCGTCTGGCTAGCGTTATACTCAACGAAACGACTCGTGGCAGGCGAGACCATAAGTAATTTTTGAAACAGAGATACACCACACTCTTGGCGAGTGTATTTTATTAATTATTACGTAAGTATTATAAACAACGCTAATGCCTGCCTCTGTGTGGCGTCACCAGCGTAAGTGCGAGAGAAAACGTCATATTCACTGTTTTATTATTACCTACACCGTCTGCCACGAATCGTTGCGCTAGTATAGGAGTGTAGGTCCCCAACCCATCTGGCTAGCGTGAGGAATGTAGTCTCCCCAAACCGTCTGTCCAATGTTAAAAGTTTAGGCCAAATAGTCCATTTTCCTCTGAAGACAGTTGTGTTCCTGCAATGGAGACTAAATGACATGATAATGAGTATACCTACTTGGTTTTTTGAAATGAATGAAATAACAATGTAATAATTTATCATTTGCACAATTATTACACTAATACTTTTATGTGCAAACGATTGCAAGCTCTGACAAAATACTAAAAGAACATTATATGAAAGTAACTCTTTTCTGTCTGTCTGTACCTTTCTAGCAACAGCTTAAAACACTGAACGGATTGTGCTGAAACACACTTATAATAACTTTATGATGTCAACGTTAACACTTGGCATCCCCTAAGAAATGGTTGTCCCAACTTCATCCCCTAAAGGGATGAAATGGGTTTCAACAGTTTAACGCGAGCAAAACCACAGGCAAAAGCTGGTAAACAATTAAGACCCACCTGTCTTTAATCCGGCAAACCGAAACCGAAAGTAGCGTCTTATCAAACTCTACGTCACGCGAGGAATTCAAACCAATTAGCAATTATCTTGTGCAAAATCGCGTTATCAGTCATCAGTGTTCGCACATACGCTGCCGCGGCGCGACGTGTGGTGATTTTGTTGTAATAATAATTATTAATAATGGATACCTGCAAGATAAAAATACAAACCGTTTTGAAGACGAAAAGTGCATCTTTTAGGAATGTGAAGAGGATTAGTCTGTGGCCGTATTTAGGGAGAAGAGTGGTTAAATATGAAGTATGTTTGTTTTTATTTTGTTTGTTAACCTATCGAACTTTTCTCGAACAGAGGAGTGTCTAGTAGAGAAAATTGGCAATCAATAATAATAGACCCTAAATCTGTTCAGGTAGAGACGTATCTCCAGTAACAATTGGAGCGGTAATTGACAGGTGAATTGCGCGATGGCTTAATCACAAGTGAACCTTGTTTTTAATTGATAAAATTTATTGGCCTTAATAATTTAGTGAGTCACAGTTTTTCTGTTATGATGTTCCTAATATTGATCGTAAAGTTTTGTATTTACTTGATTGATATCTTCCCTTATTCAGAATTTTCAGATATATTTTGCCACAAATGCTTGCCTACGTATCTCCTAGTTCAATGTCACTACTAGTATAATATCTAAATTCGTCGAAATTCAATGCTCAAAGTTCAAGGTAACCGAAGATTCTGCGGTTCAGTCATAAACTTTAACAAACTAACAGAGACACTACCGCATGTATCATTGTTTTTAAGAAGCTTAGATGTCAAAAAAATGCAAATAATATGATGCAATTTTGTTCGTTTGAAAAGTAAATATTACGGCATTATTATTTTTAGAAATAAAACTCTAAAAGATCACATCATATGCTAGAATTTATTAAGCAAACAGCGCAGGCGCAATCTAAAGGCATTTACCGCTTCTGATAATGTCTTGACATGTTAATTTATGCCTTATGTACAGTCACGGAATGAAAAGGTTCGTCAGTTTTCAAATTGATTCCTTCAACGAATCGCGAGCACATATTACCTTTTGAAACTATGTTACATAATAATCTCGAGTTAGAGAAAATAATCTTTAACTGTTCGTCAGTAAAGTTCAAAATTATTCAGATCAAAGTTGTTTGACGATTTAACTTGTCAAGAGGATTATTATGATTGATAAACTAAAACCTTCTTGTTGGTTCAACCTGCCATTATTTATTAAATAAAAAAACTACATTTTGTAACATTGCACTGATGGGATAGAAAAATAAACAAGCAAAACCTTATTCGTTAGCAAACGTCATATTTATTTAAATGTTAGCAGCACTGTTTCTTGCACGGTTATGTTGGCAGGTTTGACTCTTACAGTACCTAGTGTAAGCGAAAACCGACACTAAGGTGACGAACCTTTTCATTCCGCGACTGTACTCTCACTAAATTCAAGGAAATGTAAACCTTATTGTCTTAGCTATGAATTTTATTTTTGCTTAATTAGATCTCCAAACAATAAAGATCATAATTGTAAACTTTGATGGTTCCATAATTTGTGTAAAGGCGAGTTTAGACTAGTGCATTTACTTGTAATGTACCTAACAGAACAACGAGCCGCTCTATGAAATGTCTAACCCTGTCACGAACCAAACGTCATTATATTCACTGTATTGTACCATTCGTAAAGAACAATAATTACCTACATAGAAAGGTTATCAATACTCACCTTAAAATATTGTCCATGAGTGTTACATTTACAGCGTTCATGTATTATGATTAATTTAATATAAACCTTAGGTTTACCACCATACGTCTTAAAATTGATTGAACACATTACCCAACTTTACACGAAGAATCTTTTTTTACCTCCTAGATGTTTGCTGACCGAATTTAATCCTTATTCATTTGTATTACAGGTGTGCAGTTGTTCCGTGAGCGGCTCAGTTACCAACATATCGACGTCATCGTCGCACAATGAATCTCTCCATAATCATCAGTTGTTGAATAATACAGGTAAAAAACTAAATTATAAACAAACCCAATACAGGATGTCCCAAAAAGAGCGTGCCAAACTTAGATTAATGGATGACCATATAATAATATTAAATACTCTTTATTGCACACCAAAGAAAAGAACAGAAAGAAAAGGAACACATAAGGTACAACTAGGCGGTCTTATCGCTATGAAGCGATCTCTTCCAGACAACCTATGGAGAGGACAGTTACATATAATAAAATACTTGAGTGAAAGTATCACCATTTCAGAGATACGATTTTTTTCATGTCTTTTTTTTAAAACCCAAGCCTTTGAACATATCTCTTGTTACTGCGTCTACAAATATAAAAAAAGATAAGAATAATATCTGCTCATTTGTAATTTTTGGAACATCCTGTATATTGTTTGTCCAACTGTCAAATAGCCAACTCTTACGTCAACACAACGTCGTATAAAGTTAGATTTGCAAACATCAAACAGTTTTTATCAAATAATAGCCCGGATCATATGAATTTCCTGTTATTGTTACATAAATATTTTCCCCATATCTTTAAGTATTGTATATTTTAAAAAACCCGAGGCGAGAAAAGATGAAAATGGTTCGGGTCGATTTAAAGATCTTTTTTTACTTATTAAGACAAAGATACAACTGGGACATACATAAATATTAAGTACATAGTCATACATGCGCTAAAATAAAGTGCTTGTAAAAAAATGACACTTCGGTTTTGATGACACCTACCTATACCGTATTCCCGTCGCATTCAGGTTTTAATTTGTTCGATTCTAGTTTTAATGTTGCAGCTTACGTACGCTTTCACTGTAAACTGAACCTTATCTGTATCTATTTTAGGTCCAATATACGGTAACCTGCTATCGTCAGGGGGCAAGCCCCTGTCGTCCCCTACCGCGCGTCAGCAACAACAACTGGCGGCGATACAGGCTGCCAATGCCAGGCGGATGCCGCCAGAAGTGCCAAAGAGGACCAGCAGTATTACCCTCAAGTAAGTAGTATACAGTCTGGTCGCCGAGCACCTAAAATTTTGTCCAATGACCCCAAGTTAACGGCGTGTGCGACGGGCGCCCGCAGTGAGTGTGCGAGCGCGACAGCGAGCGATAAGGATGGGTAGCTTGGGGTCATTGGACAAAATTCTACGTGCTCATAGACCGGGCTTTAGACATTCCGCGGCATCCTTAGACATGCCGAAATGTGTCAAGAATTCGCTCGTGCGTATCGACAATTGATTGACGCTGACGCATCCCAAAGGCTGCCAACGTATCCCGAAGACTTCCGACGCATCCCGAAGCCTTCCGACGCATTCCGAAGACTGCCGAAGCTTACCAAAGGCTTCTGGTTCGGTATTTCTAAGCATGCCGTGGCATGCTAAAACCATTATTATTGCCTAAAAATCCGTGCCGTGCCGTTTCTATAATGTGCTCAGTTCCTAAGCATTAAGGTCTACATCTCAAAAATCTCCCCCCAGTGCTGAAAGTCCAGTATCGCTCCGCCGCGCCAAGTGCGGAGGAGCAGTTTTCGACGAGGTTCGATGTCTTCAGAGACACAGTTAAAAATAGTCATTGTATCACAGACATTATGGTCTACATTTCAACACAGAGTCCAGTGTAGGGCTCCATGGCTTCGGCGACACTATAGTTAAAAATAGCCACTGTATCATAAGCATTAAGGTCTAAATTCCAATACTTGTCGCCAGTGCTGAAAGTCCAGTATCGCTCCGCCGCGCCGAATGCGGAGGAGCAGTAGTACGAGGAGGATCGATGTCCTCGGTCCAGTCCTCGTCATCGTCATCGTCGCAGGAGCACCGCCATCATTACCACCAGCCGTACCAGCAGAGGGCTCCGGTGAGTATTAGAATAAAGCCTGGTCCGTGAGCACGTACAATCCCGTCCAATGACCCCAAGCTACCCATCCTTATCGCTCGCGCGTAATTATGTAGCCGTCGCGACTGTGCGACGGGCGCCCGCAGTGAGTGTGCGAGACGGACCAGGCTTTAGAATGGAATAGTTTTTATTTGAAAGAGACTTGTTTTTATAATATACAAGCAGGCAAGACATAGGTACTTAAAAAGATACACAAATGGACAGATAGCTGCTTGTGCTCCTCTGACAAGAAGGTACCCGCTCAGCAAACATCAAGACCGAGCCAGAGCTTGTCTCGAAACTGATTTTCAGCGGGGGCCCTTACGGGCGCAATGTAGTAGTATTCGATTAAGTAAGGTTCTACCGGTTTAGACCTGACGTCCTTAATTTAAGAAATTCAGGACGTCATTCTAAACCTCAACCTTCCTGCACATAGCCTTATTAATGTGTGTCATTGACATTGCATTTGTTTATTTCAAGAATTAAATCTGTGTTTCAAAAGTTGACCGCCAGGAACGTTCTGGTTTGGAAATGGTTACATGCCAAAATAACCCTTAAAGTTAAACTTAGTGACATGCGTATAAAACTTTTACAAGTTTATAACGCACTTAATAATATCAAATCATGGCATGGGGTTTTTGTCACACGGCGGAAAAGAGATTTAATTTACCTACAGGAATGGGTGAGGGCAAAGAAAAAGATTGCATGAGGTTTCGTTTTACTTTATATTTTGTATGTTATGATTGTTAAGCACGATGTTCCCACTACATTAAGATATGACAAAAACTTGTCAGGTGTACATTTAAATCCTACCTAGGCTTTAACCCTCTATAGGGCATGACATATTGAACATTTTCATTCATTTTCCACCTTATGATAATTGAATAAGGGTCATAGAGCCTTATACAGGGTTAACCTTATCCTCTACATCCCAGGAGCCTCACATCCACATCCAAGAGCAGCACTACCAAGGCCACCAGCGCACGGCATCTGGCTCCGCCTACGAGGGCGTGGCCGCGCCAGTCCCCGCCCCCGGATTCCCCGTGTGGAAGCGACAGGACGCGCCCCCGTACTACGAAGCGCCACCGCCGGCGGTATGCTGTCGCCCGCATGATAGACACCCGCCCACCCACCACCAACAGCCCAAGGTACGCATGTCGCTTGGTACAGGGGGCACTCCGATGTTGTCTTGTATTGAACTATGATACGAAAGCCCTAAGGTCCAAGTGTGGAAGCGACAGGACGCGCCCCCGTACTACGAGGCGCCGCCGCCAGCAGTATGCTGTCGCCCGCATGATAGACACCCGCCCGCCCAACACCAACAGCCCAAGGTACGCATGTCGCTTGGTACAGGGGGCACTCCGATGTTGTCTTGTATTTAACTATGATACGAAAGCCCTAAGGTCCAAGTGTGGAAGCGACAGGACGCGCCCCCGTACCACGAGGCTCCTCCGCCAGCGGTATGCTGTCGCCCGCATGATAGACACCCGCCCGCCCACCACCAACAGCCCAAGGTATGCATGGTTTTGTGGTACAGGGGACACTCGATCGGCTAGTGTCGTTATGATACTAAGGCCCCCGTACTACGAGGCGCTCCCGCCGGTCCAAGGTATGCATGGTTGCGTGGTACAGGGGACACTCAATCGACTTGTGTCGTTGTGATACTAGGGCCCTCGTACTACGAGGCGCTCCCGCCGGCGGTATGCTGTCGCCCGCATGATAAATACTCGCCCGCTCACAACTAACTTTGGTTCCTTGGTACAGGGTGCACTCGCATGTTGATTGTATTTTATTCTTTTGCGTCACGTGAATGATTTTCGTTCCACTTTTATGACCTTCCTACAAGATACTTCCTTAAGAATTTGAATTTGTTACTTATTTATTATACGAGGGTCCAGAGTACCTTGGTTACACAGGAGTTGCAGCGGCTGGAACATACAAATGTAACATCGATCATATTGTTTTATTTTCAAGCAACCACCTCTTTTGTTTTCCTTTATGAATCACCAGCTAAGTCAGGATATAAATAAAATCAATTGTTAAAAGTATACAAATCTCTTACAGGTTTCCGAAACAGTCCGCAAACGTCAATACCGCGTGGGGCTCAATCTGTTCAACAAGAAGCCTGAGCGTGGCGTGGCTTACCTCATAGCTAGGGGGTTCCTAGAGAACTCCCCTCGGGGAGTTGCTCGCTTCCTCATCACGCGCAAGGGGTTAAGCAAGCAGATGATCGGGGAGTACTTGGGCAACCTGCAGAACCCGTTCAACATGGCTGTGCTAGAGTGAGTTGGTGTTTTGTTGAATATAGCAAATTACAGGTTTATCGCTTAACTGAGTGTGTGTGTGTCACTAGAATCACACAAATCCGAAGGAAATCTGAAGTCTCACTGACGTTTGACCGTCACAAAAACTCCTGTGCCGCTTCCATACCTCAGGCAGTAAAGCGCTAGTTCTTTAGTTCGCTAGTCCTGTAGTTAAAAAGCCGGAGCGCACATATAGTTGGTGGTAGGGCTTGTTCTAAGCCCGCTGGGATTGCTACCACCGTCTTTCCTAAGACAGTTGCCAGAAAAAACATGTTGAGAGCATTTTTGTGTTTTGGCAATTGGAGGTAAGATATCCAATCCCTCTGTTTGGATGAAGATCGCGTCCACCTTCGGCCTGATCATCACTTTCCATAAAATGAAATGGAGGTCAAAACTTCTCCGTTGTGATTAAAAAATCGTAGCGTGGCGCATTCTTATAGTTTGGGCGTAAATGATTGTGGGAATATCGGGCCTTCCCAACCCTTTTGGCCAGTATGGGGAGTGTAAAGTAAATTGTGGAGAGTTGTGTTCCTGCAGAGGTATAGGGGACTTAACGACCTATGGCCCAATTCACGTATTTTAACAGTCNAAACAGTCAAGATCTCGCTGACGTTTTGAAGTCGTCCCATTGAAAAACAGTTCTAAATCCGTATTCACAAGGGTCATTTTTGATAGAACGATTACTCGATAGGATCGTAACTCAGCGATTTGTTGTCTTTGAAGTTTTGTTACGTCGTCCCATTAAAAATCAGTTCTAAATCCGTATTTACCAGAGTCATTTTGATAGAACAATTATTCGATAGAATCGCAACTCAGTGTTTTGTCGTTGAAGTTATGTTTTGTGAATAAGGCTACTAATCATGATGACTATAATTTTCTCACAGATGCTTCGTCAACGAGCTAGACCTCTCCGGCATGGCGGTCGACGTGGCTCTTCGAAGATACCAGGCCCACTTCCGACTACCTGGTGAAGCTCAGAAGATCGAGCGGCTGGTGGAAGCCTTTGCCCGCCGCTACTGTATTTGCAATACTGACTTTGTGCAGCGGCTGAGGACTCAGGATACGGTGAGTGGATGTATGGAGTTAGTCACGGTGACTTGGACCAGTTTTCTTCTCTCGATCGTCGAGAGAAGAAAACAGGTTATGAAAAAAATTACCGACAGACATGACTTTCATTGGTTGGGGTTTTTATTGGCGGTCAAGCTGTAGATCCTGGCTATACAGGAGTTGCAGCTGTGGGAACGAGAGGTGGGAATAGTCCCGTTATGACGAAAATGGGTCTATCCCCTTTTGTCCTCTTTTTGGATTGACCAGAAGATATCGCTTCATATCGCATTCAGATATATGTGGACTGATGTCTGGGATGAAATATCAAACGCCGAGTAGGATATGAGTGACTTTTTTTTATAATATTATAGATACCTAGGTGACATGCAATGTTTCCCACTTAGTGCGGTGGGACCATGGTTAAAATAAATTACCCGTAGACCCACTGGCAAACACTGTTCAGAACGGTGGGACAACGGGTAAAAAAAATTACCCGTGGACCCACCAGGGGGATATGTTGGGGGGACCACGGGCAAAAGCCGCTTCCTAGCGATAAGATTAGTTCTGTTGTTCCAATTTTGTTTGTCAGTTTTGTATGGTGCTCAATAAAGAGTAACTAGGCTAAATTTGATGCCAAGACCTCCTGGTTTTAATAATGTTGAATAAACTACAGGTATAGCGAATAATTGAGAAGCTATTTGCGGCACTGCAGCGGTGAGGAAGGGGTCAAATATAGAAATCTTCAAATTGTATACAACGGCAACTCTTAAGCCGCCTAGTGTCAAAATCTGAAACTAAGCCCGGTTTCCATTCAAAACCTTTCTCCGCTCTGGCTTGGTGGAAACTGGGCCTATAGCTCTAAGGGTACATTTTTGACTTATGTTGTAATTTTTTCTTTCCAGATCTTCGTGCTAGCCTTCGCGATAATAATGCTGAACACAGACCTCCACACACCCAACTTGAAGCCCGAAGCACGAATGTCGCTGGACGACTTCGTACGGAACCTCCGAGGGATCGACGACTGTGGGGACATTGACAGAGACATGCTGGCTGGAATATACGATAGGGTCAAGTCGAGCGAGTTTAGGCCGGGAAGCGACCATGTCACGCAGGTAATAAGAATTATTTTAAATGAGTATTTTTTGTTCGTTCATTCGTTTCAGCCGAAAGACGTCCACTGCTGGACAAAGGCCTCCCCCAAGGATTTCCATAAAGACCGGTCTTTCGCCGTTCGCATCCAGGCGCCTCTCTCGACCTTCACCAGATCGTCGGTCCACCTAGTGGGAGGCCTGCCCACGCTACGTCTTCCGGCTCGTGGTGGCCACTCAAGAACTTTCCTGCCCCAGCGGCCGTCAGCTCTACGAGCTATGTGCCCTATTTTTGTACCAATCAATTATGTGACTTTTGACTCCAAATATAAAGTCTTGCATCGACGGGAGACATTGACAGAGATATGCTGGCTGGCATATACGATAGGGTCAAGTCGAGCGAATTCAGGCCGGGAAGCGACCATGTCACGCAGGTAATAAGAGCTATTTTAAATGAATAACTCATTTATTACACCAAATTAAAATCAAATATATTTGTGAAAATGTACTAATTACATAAGTAATTAAGTATACATTCACTAATCTAGCTAAAAAGCTACATGCTCTTGTACTTCTAACAATGTTTAGTTATGGCATCAAACTTTTAATTTCAAGGTGATGAAAGTGCAAGCCACGATCGTGGGCAAGAAGCCACACCTGGCGCTTCCGCACCGACGCCTGGTCTGCTACTGTCGCCTGTACGAGATACCGGACATACACAAGAAGGAACGGCCTGGCGTGCATCAGAGAGAGGTATTCGTTTATAGATAGACAGATAGATCTAAATAAACCATTTATTTAAAACTTTTAAAGACTTCGCCAAATAGAACAATACCTAGCGCGCGATTAGTGTTGATAATGACTAAAGCGGCTGAATTTGACTGACCGTCATTTACGGTCAAATTGGTTAAAAACGGCATTGCGTAGATCTGCCAGATATCTACGCAGGCGCTGGTAGTTATTATTTAAAAGTCGTAGCAGTCATTTGTTTTTTGCAATTGTATTGAAATGCCTTTTTCATGTCCTAGTATAATTTGAAATCGCAAGCAGTGGTTCAGGATAATAGTGACGCCAATTGATGAGCAGTTAGCGCTACTGGATAGTAAAGGGCTTTAGTTTACCACCAGCACTACCACCCTGTGGACATCCCACGCTGCTATTGCCGAACCCATACAAAAAGTTAAATTTTTAACTATACGTTATATAATTCCAGGTGTTCCTATTCAACGATCTGCTGGTGATAACGAAGATATTCAGCAAGAAGAAGTCTTCTGTGACGTACACGTTCCGCCAGTCGTTCCCTCTCTGCGGAATGCTTGTAAACTTGTTCTCAGTGCCGCGTGAGTATGATGTAGCTTAATTTTATTTAGTTTATATACGAGGCTTATTGGGTGAATCGAAACTCGATATTTAATAAATTTATCGACTTTCATTACTTCTCACTTACATGTAAATGTGCCTATCACGAGTATTAAGTTATATCTGTTGCACAGAAATCTTTGTCAGTCATTGTATTGTGAGCTCAACCTGTCATTTGTTTTTTGATCCTGTTTGACTCAGCGGGACAGTTTGCCAAGACCAGTTTACACTTCTTGAGGCCCCGTTTACTCTACCTGTAGACTATTTTAGCAACTTAACTGCCAATTTGACATGCTTCATGTTCGGACGTCATCCATTACTTGCCAACTTAGTATTAACTTACATATTTAAGTAGTGTGTGTGTGTAGTAGTAATGCACAATGACGTCATTACAGACTATCCATTCGGCATCCGCCTATCCCGCCGCGTGGACGGCCGTCGCCTAGCAACCTTCAACGCGCGTAACGAACACGACCGCTGCAAGTTCGCTGAGGACCTGCGCGAGAGTATTGCTGAGATGGACGAAATGGAAGCCATGAGGATCGAGGGCGAACTCAACAGAGGGAAGGGAAGGGGCACAGGAAACAATAGGAATGGTGAGTCAAAGTGATCCGGGTCAAAAGACCAGTTTCTTTAATGATCCGGCTTGAAGGATCATTTCGAGGAGTTGCGTCATAAATGATCCGACTCGAAGGACCAGGTTGCTAAAGACCTGCGCGAGAGTATTGCCGAGATGGACGAAATGGAAGCCATGAGGGTCGAGGGCGAACTCAACAGAGGGAAGGGAAGGGGCACGGGAAACAACAGGAATGGTGAGTGGCTTTAAAGTGATCTGGCTCAAATGATCAGATCTCGGTGTTGCTTCATAAGCGATCCGGCTTGAAGGACCAGTTACTGCATAAGTGATCTGGCTCGAAGGACCAGCACGCGGAGAAAACATCGCCGAATAATACGTCCATGATGTCTGAAGAATTCACTTCAACTGGTCAATGTGACTAAATTACTTTAATTTGTCAAAGAGCGTTATCACTCAGGTTAACGCAAATCTACTTTGATGTGATAGTGCTTGCTTATGAAACCCGTGTTTAATAAAATTAATTATCTTGTCAACAGTAATGGAAAATCGTGACAGCGGAGTGGCGGACGTTGAGATCGACCACCAGCAATGCATGGACCACGTCCATGTTCATGGGTAAGAAATTATTCATTCATTCTCAACGTAAAACTATGTATAAATATCACGATTGGAAACTATAATTTCTAACCTTAATGCAGTCGGCTCGGCATCACATCACTAATGTATTATTTGAATACAGAACAGATAAACACACTCATTCAGGTTCAAATATCAAATAGACTAGCTACCTCGCTCTTGCTAGAAGTGTGCAAGCGAGACAGGAAGCACTTGTCAGTTTCGCGAGACGTCAGCGCGGCGATGCTTGTGTTGATGGCCTCAACTTTCGCTGCGTAACCTAAACAACTACTTATGATGCTCCAGTCCAGTCTATCCCAAAGTGGGAGATAAGGCCCTCTTGTGGGCGCTGCAGGCTTAAAGGGGGGCGGTAAGAGACCCAGAAAAAAAATCGGGACGTTGTGTAGAGGCTTGGGAGGCATCATCTACTGTGAGGACTCTTAGACACTGACTGAGCACTCTACTCTCGACTACAAATGGGGGCGCTAAAAAGAATAAATTCTCAAACTGGGCAGTAGACAAAATAAGTTTGGGAACCGCTGCTCCAGTCTATACAAAAAATAGTTTTTATCATGCTACTTTTGTTTCAACAGAGTGGTAGTACCACCACCGCCGTCCGGGCCGGCTCCGGCGGCGCCGTCGCGGCTGCCACACAATCCGCCTCCCACCACCATCATCAAGCGGAACGTGCTCTCTAACTCGCTCGTGGACATAAACGACCCAGGTGAGTCGACCCTTTTGTCCCCACAGAGTGGTAAAGGCTGGTCCGTGAGCACGTAGAATCCCGTCCAATGACCCCAAGCTACCCATCCTTATCGCTCGCGCGTAATTATATTGCTGTCGCGACTGTGCGACGGGCGCCCGCAGTGAGTGTCCGAGCGCGACAGCAACATAATATTGGGATGGGTAGCTTGAGGTCATTGGACGGGATTCTACGTGCTCACGGACCAGGCTTTAGTACCACTGGCTCCGTCTGAGGCGGCTCCGGCGGCGCCGTCGCGATCCGGCTCGAAGGACCAGGTCGCTGAGGACTTGCGCGAGAGTATTGCTGAGATGGAAGCCATGAGAATCGAGGGCGAACTCAATAGAAAGGGAAGGGGCGCCGGCAACAACAGGAACGGTGAGTTACTACATTGGAAAAGTAATATTCGAAAGTAGCCGGCTCGGAGGACCAGTGTGACAAAAGATTTAGGACACGCTTACGCGGCAAGGGCTGGGTGTGGACAGCAAGAGGAACGGTGAGTGGCTTCTTAAGTCATCTGGCGGCGGTGGAGCTGCTTCATAACCTGCCGCCCACCACCATCGTCAAGCGGAACGTGCTCTCTAACTCGCTCGTGGACATCAACGACCCAGGTGAGTTAATAAAGCAAGCAAGTTTCTAGCAAAAGGGGTCGGACTAGCCGACTCCAAAACCGAGGAACGCGGGTTCGAATCCTGCCGCCGCTCGACTATCGTGGTGAGCCCACTTGTAACACAAGCATATTTAGCTTAGTACGAGGGGATAACGGGACTATTAGTAATTTGTGTGTAAAAAAGGCGTCCATTGCTGGATAAAGATGTCAAGGAATTCCACGACTGGTCCTGCGCTGCCTGCATTTAGGCACATCTCACGACTTTCACCAGATTATACAGATTAGAGGTTCACTGAATGGGAGACCACCTACAAGGTGGACCGACGACATCATAAAGTTAGCAGGAAAGCGCTGGACGCAAGCCGCTAACAATCGATCAACATGGAAAGCATTGGGGGAGGCCTATGTTCAGCAGTGGACGTCCTATGGCTGAAATGATGATGATGATGAATGGGAGACCTGCATATTAAATCTCTCGAGAAGGCCTAAGGCCATTAGTTCTACGAGCTACGTGCCACTTAAGTTTGGCTATTTCTATGGGCTATGTCTTTTGTTCTAGCATAATACTAAATGGTTATTTTCTTTTTACAGTGGCTCTAGCAGCTGAAAGGCTGCAAAGGCGGGGCTCCGTGGGTTCCCTGGACAGCGGCATGTCGGTGTCGTTCCAGCAAGGCAGCCGCAACGCACTGCACGCCACATCACCACGTCATCCTGGGGAACAGAGGTCACCTGGTAAGTTTGGAGTTCCCATAGAACAGAATCTTAACAGTGGCTTTGGTAGCTGAAAGATTGCCGTCCAGGACAAAAGAGA